TTCATCGATAAACCTCGGCCCTTAGCCGATAGACCTTGGCCCTCCGGTCGATGGACTTTAGGCCCCAATCAGTAAACGCCGACCTTGTTCCTTCATCGATGGACCTCGGCCCTTAGCCGATAGATCATGACTCTTCGGTCGATGGACTCTTGGCCCTTTGATCTCTGATTTTTCGGCCTCTCCTTCCCCGCACTCTCGGCCTCTCGATTGACGGACTCTCGGCCTCTCGGTCGACGTACACTAGCCAAGCAGAATCAAGAATCAGGTCTTGGAGTAAGGATAGAGTAAAGAAGTTAAGAGAAAAGACTATATTAAATACTACTCAAATTTGCGATCTACATAGCACATTTACGTCGTGCTTCCGAAATACTTACTATGTCCACCCACCTGTTCCGGAAATAGATAGATTTTGGCCGGGTATGGTTGCAGGAAGGTTCGATCCTGAAGACTTGTTTTACCTAGGGTTCAATAATATCAAGACCACGTTACTTACTTAACACAAATGTTTAAAAATCCTTGTGACTACTCGACTCACTCCTACGACCGCCGCAAAAGCACCAGCCAGATGACCCTGCAAGACATCTAAGTCCGCCCTCGAGAGCAATAGTCGACCGAGGACCCATGGTCTATGCGAGGTCTATCACTGACCACTTTGCCTCAGGGTCCTCAGGTCCCCGCAAGCCAATCATCGCGAGGGTCGCCCACGTGGGCCAAATGCCACTCGGACAAACTGACATGCCACTGATGCATGCCACTGCTGCAGGTCACTACTTCAGGCCCGAGCGGAGAGCGCGGACGACAAACAGCGAGCTTACGAAACGGTCACGTGAGTACAGCCAAGGGAAAGTCGGGCTTCTGATAGGTTGAATTTTTAGCCAATCATTAATGAGACAAGACCAGTACCGAATTACACCTCGTCACGTGACGAAGTTGCCCAGGGAGGAGCGCCTACCAACCCGGTAGGTAGTTTGCAGGCATACTTTGACGCGGCCATGACAAAATATCTACATGAAAGCCAAGTACCGCAAACACACATCTATGGAAGCGCGGCCAGAGGACGGCAGAGGGCGCAGAGGCCAACGACCCAGCTGGGCCCAAGTGCAGGTATGCAAGTTGGAAGAGACCAAAGGGATGAACGACGTGGAGATGGAATCGGTCGTGTAAATACGACCCAGATGACATGGACCTCGGTGGTCCTCTGGCGAGAATGGCCAATGCCACCCTGGGACAGGTTCCCAGCATGGTTCCTCGTATCAAGCTCTCAGCAACCTCGGATCTCAAAGAGTTCCATGGTATAGACCAAGATGAGGACTGAGCACGTAGCTGGATGACCACTGTGAAGACCGCTTTTACGAGGGACCAAGCGCCAGATGGGGAAAAGTGTCTCGTTTTTGGAGGATTATTGACTGGACCTGCCCAGAACTGGTATCGTCAACGAGGTCGCTACGTTTGAGAAAATTGGAAGGACTTTTTACAAGAATTCCAGATGCAGTTCTGTGGTTTGGGGGTGCCAGTGGCCTGCCAATATTACCATGCGAAGAAAAGGTAGGACGATTCCCGCTGGACTAACTGTACCGTCTGAATGTCATTGGACTTCGAGCGAAAATCAAGATCAAGGATGGACCGCCTAAGATTTAAAAGGAACATGTCGACAACTATATCGAGACCTTGGACTACCCTGACTTGGCAGAACAATTGGCCGTGTTACGTTTTGCTGATGTGGAAGAGCTGGAGGATGTACTAAGGGCGAGTCAACCGACGTAGGCTCGACGAGGCAAGATGTTATTTGTGTCAGGAAAGTTTTGTCAGAAAGCACCGATTACCCTGATCGGCTAAGAGAGTTGAATCGCCGCTCCGTCCATGCGGTTCGAGCGACCCAGGAAGGATCAGGCTCCGAAGACTCCAGTTTGGACAGTTCGGATAGTGACGGTGACCTACGGAAGGTCTACATTATGGCCACGGAGACGGAGAAGGACCTAGGGCTAAGGACCCCGAGGAGCCGACCCATCAGAGAGGTCGACCAGCCCCGATCCTCGATCAAGGATCTTGGACTTCGCGCGTCGTCGGTAAACCCAAGTGCAAGCAGTGCCCATTGTGGGTCCATGAAGCATGGATACTTGGTTGTTGGAAGAGGCTGACCTGCGATTGCTGTGGGAAGAAGGGCCATCCATCAGATCGCTGCCTGTTCGTATGTCGAGGCTGTGGATAAACCCACGAGGTTGGGAAGTGTATGATGGTAGAGTTTTATAAATTGAGCCGTCAGTGGTACAACCCGACCAAGCCTGCTGAGATGTTGCCGGGGAAGGTCGAGCAGATGCTAAATTAGGACGCTCGCCAGGTTTGAATCTGGTACGAGCCGAGAGTTCTAATTGTTGCATTTTTGCATATGTGGAAAAGCGACCTAAGGAAGGAAGGGACACACAAGATAACGTGATTGGAAATATATCAAAGTTTGAAAGTTACCCCATGGTCTATGTTGCTTCTTTAAGTGCGTCTAACGATTTCGTTCGGGAAAGTTCAGTGATGGAGTTGGGCCTACTGCTGGGCGAGTCGAGAGGGTATTGGAAATACCATGCTCCTACAAAACGGTTTGGACAAGCCAAGGCATCTGGGAAGATTAACAACGATCGAGCTAACTTGTTGTTCAATACTGGCGCCGAGATATCCATTTTGGATATCGCCTTTGCTCGTAAGGTAGGCTGCCATATTGACGAAAGTGAGCGCCAAGAATGTGTTGGCATCGGGGAATCGGTGTATAACACGGAAGGACGCACCCGTATCAAGGTCACTCTGAACGGGAACTTGATATAATTCTTCAAGGTGTGGGTGGGCCCAATGGTGGGTCAAATTGCAATCTTAGGCTTGGACGTCATGGTCCAAGCCGGTATTCGACTGGATCTGACGGATGGGACACTATGTCTGCTCGATGAGGTACGAGTCCAGTTAGCAGGACGAAGGACCTTTTCGATAATCGGGTATCAGACGTGAAGCTGGGTCGATACGTGCAGATACCGGCCGGGGTAAGAGGAAGTGCCTCTAAAAAGGTCGACCTCGCACCAATGGAAGTTGTGGGTCACAAGGGGAGAACGAAGGATCACGACTGTGAGCCAAGGGGTAGGAAGTCGGAAGTTCCTGATAGTAACCATTGTCAGTACCCAACCCCTGATATTACACGAGGACACCACCATAGGCATGTGGATGACGAAGTACCAAGTACCAAGGGCGCAGTGTTTTGTGTCGGTAGGGTCTCGAAGATATGCTGAGTGGTTAAACCTGGTGTATGACTTTACCAAAGACCAGGCCGACTAACAGGAGGCCGTGACGGGGTAGGATGAAGGGCCATTAATAAAAGTTATTACAGTACAGTACTCCATCTAGAATACTTCAGCGAACAAAAGTACCTGCTCCGATAATGACTATGGAATTCCAGCCGAAGACGATCCGGTTGACCAGATAGACCCTAAGGTCGATCAGGTATGCCCTCCGGTCGACCACGTAGACCAGATGAGAAAAGGTAAGTGGCCGCTGTTAGAATTGCCGCAAGCGAATGATCAAGTGTGCACGTATGAAAGTGGGAAATCTTGGCCGATTATGTAATCTAAGGGTGGGCTATTATACCGGAGGTGGACCCTTCACCCAAGAGCATTAAGTTGGAATATTTACAGACTTCTGACCCTGACCAGAATACCATAGAAGCGGTAGACCGACTGAGACAGATTATATGGAGAAGACAACATCTACTGATGGGAAAGTGCAACGCCTTACCACCGGATGCTTGAGGAACTATCTTTGACATTGATGTAGGTAATGCCAGGCCGATTGCACAACGTGTAAGGAAGGTGCTCCACCCCCAGTTCAAAGAAAAGTTGGCCTATATGATCAAAGGGCTGTTATCTGCGAAGATCATTCAGCATCCAAGGTCTCTATGTAGTGCTCGACATATTCCTTTCGATTCTGGGGCGGCCCATCTTTGATCTTGATCTTCGCTCGAAGCCCAATGACATTCAGACGATATAGGTAGTCCAGCGGGGATTCGTCCGACCTTTCGTCGCTGGAATATTGGCGGGACACGAATACTTCCAAACCAGAGAACTGCATCTGGAATTCCTGTAATAAATCCTTTCAATTTTCACGAACCGAAGTGTACAACACTTGCTTATAAAGCACATTTCGCTTAACACTTGCTTTTAAAGCACCTTCGTGTTCAGCACTTGCTTATAAAGCTCCTAAATGTTTAACACGTGCTTGTAATGCACCTTGGTGTTGAACACTTGCTTTTAAAAAGCCTTTAAGTGCTTAAAACACTTGCTTATATAATTCCAAAGTGGTGTACACTTCTGATACAGCTTCGTCGTGTTTCACACTTGCTTATATAAGCCCCATAGTGTTACTTTGCTTATAAAGCACAACATTGTTTACCACTTGCTTATATAAAGCCCCAAAGTGTCGTAAACTTGCTTCTGAAGCAGATAACAGTACTTTTCTCGCGAGTAAGGTACTAGCAACTGCTTCATAAGAAGGTCGGAGGCGAAGCCTAACTACTGACCTTGCTTCCACAGCAATTAGTGCTAGGAAGCATCCGGCGACTGATGTCGCCGCTTCTGATCTCTCCGATCAAAAGCTTTAACGACGTCCGGGCAGTCTTGCCGTAGGGGTACCTTGTACTTCCACGAGTCACACGATTAAGGGTACCCCCTCTACTTTACCAGATACTGGGTGTGGCCCTGATGAGGACATCGCGCCAATAAACGCTTGACAAGAAACTATTGATGAACCAACTCATCAGACAGCGTTGGAGAGGGTCAGTAACCCATCAATCCTTAATCTTTTGGTGAGCCATCAGCAACCATATGCACCTCCGGTGCCGAAATACCCGCCTCCTTCGGCTATGGATTCGGGGACAACCCCTCGAAGTCCACCGAGGCAGGGTTGAGATATGGCTTAAGTAAGCCCACGTAGAACACAGGATGTGTTCTCATCTTCTTCGAAAGGTTCAGCTTTTAGGCTAAACCTTTGGCGCTTATGACCTTTAAAGGTCCAATAAAGCGTGGACGCAGTTTGGTTTTATATACCGCAGACACTGCATTTGTCGGTAAATTCCTAGCGTTTAGTAAAACCAAGTCTCCCACTTTGAACTCATGTTCGTTCTTCCTGCCTTTGGCATCCGCATGTTCCTTCTGAACATCCTGGCTTTCAGCCATAGCGTCTTTGATGCGACGTAATTCGTCAAAACGCGTTGACAGAAACCCTTCCACCTTTTTGCGTATCGCAACAGAGCTGATATCAGCTAAGCCTTTGGCTATCTCTCCACCACCAAGCCCTGATGTGGCAGGGGGTAGCGTCAGGAAAGACATTGGCAAGCTCGCGCGCAAGCGCGAGAACAGGATTCTTTGACGCAGCAAGCTCCTTCCAAAATGCGCCGCAAATTTTTCCTCGCGTGCGGACTTCTGTTCCATCTCTTCTGGATGCTCGTGGTTGATGAGATCGGGATTCGGAACGACTGGAAAAATTGTTCGATCTCTCCCCTCTTCAAACCATGCAGCAAATCATCGCAACAGTCTTCCGAAAGCTGAGAGTGATGCTAGATGCGTCGCGAGGTGGACTCGCGACCTGTACCAAATGGCTGCTAGGACCAGCAACAGTCATGTTAACGACAATGAGGGTCTCGAATGGAGACGCCGGCTTAAGAGATGGTGACGACAAAGGAGGACAAACACGATCACGCCGCCCTTGGCGACGAGGTGACACAGGAGCACGAACCGGTATAACCTGTCGTACGGAATCCAATACCTCCGCGTAAGTCGTTGGAAGCCGATGCTCCGACGTGGTGTCCTCCAGAGGGACTAACACGGGAGCCATTGCTCGCTCATGACGCATCGATATCTGCTGCTTTAATGCGGTTGGGGTTGAAGCTGCACGCACTGGAAGCCTCTGCCTTAACGCAATTTACGCAGCTCGCACTCGCAAGGGAGCCACTGCTTGCTCGTGACGCACGGAAGATCGCCGCCTTCGTGCGGTTTTGGATGAACGCACACTCATGGGAGACACTGTTCGACCCGTTGCCACTGCTGCGGGTGTTATTCTTGACTCAAAAACCACTGTTCGACTGAGAGGAGGAGGTTGCTGAGTTGCGCACCACACTCAAAGGGACATCGCACACTTCGGGGGCTTGATCAGTCTAGAGTCGGGGTCCACGACAGCAACATGATGCCACGGAATCGTCGCCTGGTAGAAATGGCGAAAACCGCATTGACATCAATGTCACGTGGCTGATCTGTGCGATCTAGCCAATCAATGTCAGGTCGATGCCGTGCAAGCCACGGCATCCCAAAATTGCTATCAAATAACCGCTCAAGTCGATAACTTGGAATTAATCACTGCTCTTGAGAGCATTGAACCGGTAAGAAAGCTCCACCGAACAATTTCGGTGCGGGCGGGGCTTGCCGTCCACAAACTTGACGATTATCTTTCCCGAAAACTCGCGTAAACGCAACCGCGACGGGAGAACGGGTAAGCTATCGGTGTGGACAAAATTGTTCGTCGCGCCTGAGTCCAGCAATGCGCGAAATGGACGTGACGTACCGTCAACGTGAACACTAAGCAATCAAACGCAGATCATTGCGGGACGTGGTGACTTTTAGCTGTGCATATTGCACAGCAGGGCTAGAAGACTGCGTCGCCACCGCAAAAAGGTGTCCTCGTTTCCACCCAGCAGGACACCCCGTGCCTACTGGCTGCCGTCGTTTTTGTTGGGGTGACATCGGACGTAGCGACAGCGACGACTGACGCAGGTGCGCAGCATACAGCCGAGTGGTGACCAGGTCTGTTGCGATGAGCGCCGATTGACATAATCGGACGCCGGTGCCGAAGTGCGACGAACTGCGGATGCTTCGTGCTGAGACTGAGGAGGCGAAGAATGGCTTGCTAGATGCTCATGAGATGGCCGAGAGTGCTCAAGATCGTGCGGCGGCTGCGACGGAGGCTGCTGAGAGGACTTGACGGGAGCAGCAGGTGTTGGTGGATCGTCTTCGCCAACTCGATACTGCCGCTTTTGGAGGGCCTCAGCAGAACGAGTCTGCACGCCATCGGGCAGGACTTGGTCCCAGTCGTCGGCAGCGTCGTCGACTAGGGATATCAGATGTTAGGCCGGCACCGGAGAATAATGAAGGTTCGAAAGAAGATCAGACGGAAAGTATACTAAAAGGCGCCCGACATAGAATGTTGGGTGCAAGCGCATAGTGGTTGGTATGTCTAGCGTAAAGGCATCTCCATGAACTTTGATAACCCGAAAGGGACCAATACATCTTAAAGCTACTTTGGTGGCGTCCAAATTCGTCAAGGATGTGCTTGCAGCCTACTTGTCGAAAAACAGGGCTCTATCACCTTCGTTAAATTTTGACAGATGCTTTCGACCTCGCTTGGCCTCGTTCTCTTTTTGCATGTCGACGGCTTGTTGAAAGGCATCACGTACAAAGCGTGTAATGCCTTGTCGTAGCAATATAAGGTCGGTCACAGCAGCCGAGCTAATAGGTGAAGTGAGCTCTGTAGGAGCAAAATTAGCTAAGGAGGGCGTGACGGGATGCATCGTGTCGGGACTTGAGATGCCGTTGGCCACAAAATTAACAGCATGAGACGCATCGTGAGCGACCTTATCGACAACGTAATCAATCATCAAATGTTCCGGCGCAATACCATCGGCAGATACTCCCCCACCAAGCGTAGAGCTTGTGTGTGGTGAATCTTTGAAAGCAAGATGCGCTGAAACGCGAGGGGGCCTCGCGGTGCTCACGAAAAATGTCGTCAATCCTGTTGACGCATCGACTGCATTGTTGATTGCAATTCGGCGAGTGGAAGGAATAAGCTCCACGACGTGAACGATGTCGCATAACTATGCAGGACATCTTCAAGCAATCGACTGATACGCTCCGTTTACCCATCCGTTTCTGAATGGGCCGCCGAAGACATAAGAAAACGCGTGCCCAGTAATAAAAATGGCCCTGTCCGAAAAGCCGAAGTAAAGCGCGGGTCACGGTCGGAGACGATGTATCCTAGCAAGCCCTGGTGTCTGAAATATGCGATCAATAAAGACCTCCGCGGTTGCATCCGCTCTAATGTGCGCGGAGACTGGAGCAAAGTGCACCATCTTGCTAAATCGATCCGCAAAAACCAAGACGCCAGTGGGATTCTTCTCATCCGGTAAAATCCCAATGATGAAGTCCATACTGATGGAATGCCAGGCTTCCTTAGATATCGGAAGCGGTCGTAATGAGGCTTGAGAAGATGGCGGCACATTTCGCAAGAGCGTACCCATTTTCTGGATGTACTTGTACATGCGTGGCCAGAAGACTACTCGAGAAATGACCGTTAACGTCTTTTGGGACCCACATGACCACCAGCTGGGGTGTCATAGAATTCATGCACCAATCGCGCTCGAAGGCCGTCATCAGCAGGGACGGCTACGCGCGGTGGTTCAAAGACGTCCATATTGTACGTCAGTAGAGGACCATAAAGCCGAAAAGCTTGATGTCGTCACGCTTTAGTAACGTCATTTTCGCGAGTGACACTTCACTAGGGTGCCGATGATAGTAGATACTTTTTGTGTAGAAGGAATCATACGACTCAGCGATCTGAGACCGATAGCACACGTGTCGAGACCATTGCATTGACCACCAGTTCGGTACAGCACAATCAAATGTCATTGTTTTCATCATCGGCACTACCTGGCTGATGGCCAACATCGCGTCGTGGTCGTAATCGGGACGCCGAGAAAGCGCGTCAGCAAGAATGTTATTCTTTCCGGGCTTGTAAAACACCACGAAGTTCGACTCTGATTGGAATGACAACTAACGAGCCATACGCTGAGACAGGTGAGGGGCCTTGACTGCGGTACGCAGTGATGCGTGATCTGTATGATACTGAAAACATCTTCTCGCCGAGTGAATATACCCTGAACTTGATCAGAGCATAACGCATAGCCCAAAAGTTCTATATCGTGTACCGAAGAATTTCTTTCGCCAGATTTCATCTGTTGTCGAACCACTGCACCAAAATGATCAAGGCCTCATTGGTCAGTGCTGTGTCAATATTAGTCCAACACTTCCCTTAATTGACATCCGGGCACTTCTTCTGATTCTACTGGCTAGCTTCCAGCGAGACATCGACTCTTCGCACCCGGCAAGAATTGAACTCGCGTCAGTTGGGCTCATAACCTAATGTCATACCACTGCACCAAAAACGGTCAAGACCTCTTTGGTCACTGTTGTTTCATTGTTTTTTCCAACATCATCTGCCGCGACTGAAAACTCACGACGCGCTCTTGGAAAATTGTTTATTCAATAACTTTAATTCCTGGCTAAAACTAGCTAAAAAATAATATAGAAGTGTCGGCAGAGGCAGAAGTAGCGGAAAGATAAAATATAAACAAACACACCGCCCCCGTGGGGGTAGCCAGCTTGCTGGTGAGGTAGAGTTCAACTCTCTAGGCGGTGACCGTGCCTTCGGGCACTGGGAGGTTGAGATGCGACGCACCTTGATCTCCCGTGAGGCCGTAAGGCCGTTGAGGCGGGTTAACTTGCCGGGGTTTGGAGACAAGCCAGAAGGACAAGGAAACTCGCACCGTGAAGCGGAGCCTCCGACCTGATGCAGAAGAGTCCTTTGGGATCTTCGTCGTGACAGACAACATGGGTCAGTAGGAGGTGTCGAAGCACGGAGTGTGAAAGGCGAAAACGAGGGATGGACTTGGTCTTGCGGGGCAGCAGAGCTGGTGCGGCGGCATCTGGGCTCGTATGTCACCGTGAGCGAAAGGCTTGATCTCAGGAAGTAGCAGCGGGGACACCTTGGGTAGGAAGTGAAATCTTGTGAACATGGGCTGGCAGGCCCGAGGGCGCTTGAGAGTAGCGGACTCAATGGTCAACCGAAAGCGAGGGAAGCGTGCCATCGGCGGTATCGGCAAACGGAAAGCCCTGGGGACGGGAGTAGTACGGATGTCGATGGCGAAGATGAAACGCGACCTTCAATTTCACCTTTGCGTAGTTGGAAGCAGGGACGAGGGGACCATCCATCCTTAAAGCCTTGTGAAAGACGACGTAAAGACTTTCAGGCGTGCCTGAAGTGTAGCCTTGAGCTACGATTAGCCACATGGCTTGGGAGAGTGATGATACGTGTTGTTCACTGAAAAGTGATTACCTGCGGCCCAATTCCGCCTAAAAGACACGAGGAAACACGATTCAAATCCATGAAGCGGGGTATGTGCGGTACGCAGCAAGCTGGTGGAAAGGCGGGCTGACGGCGGCATACCTGATCCGACTTAAGTGTCGGACCTCGGGCCCGGGAAAGGGTCCAACCCGGTTCAACTTGGAGCCGCCTTGACGTGGCGGACCGGCTTTCAACCAAGAGCTCCAAACACCAGTAACTGCAAGGAAAACCAAGGCGTAGATAGAATCCAGACCACAACGTAGATAGAAGAATCCAGAGTATAGTAGAAAGCCATAGTAAGCAGAAGTAGGGTTGCAATAGTAGAGATAGAAAGTGATAACCATGCTAATTGAACAATTGAACACTTCATCCACAAATATCTTGAAGATATGTTTCGTGACGAGGTAATGTAAATGGGCTAGAGATCGCATAGCATGTAAAGCGTAGAACTCAAACAGTAGCAATCCAGAACCAGAAGAACAGTAGAAAGAGAGGACGCAACCATAGAGGTAGGCTAGTGACTGCATAGCGAGAATAGCGTGACCCAACCATCAGCAATCCGAAACCATAGTAACAGTAGAATGAGAGAACGTATCCATAGAGAAAGTAGATGAAGTGTCCAAAACAAGGCGCAAGAGTCCTTGCCATTGCTTCCGTTCCGCATAGGACCTCAAAGTGCGTAAGTGTAGATCCACATAGGCAAAACAGTGATGACTGACAAAGGCGGCATTCGTACTAGTCCCGGGATTGTAGAGTCGTTTGTTGCGATGAAGCCAAAGAGACCGGAGAACACAGCATCGAACAACATGGAAGACGATCAGAATCGCACGATTCCCAAAAACCATGATGGCAGACGGAAGCATACGTAGCGAAGCAGGAAACAGAATATGAATCCACGAGACGTCGCCATCGAAACAGTCTCGAAAAGGCTGCAAGAAAAAGTTCCATTGATACTTGGCGACAGGGCAAAGCCAAAAGAGATGAATAGCGGTTTCCATGGCGTCGCAATCATGAATGCAAGACGAAGATGTGGTAATCTCTGTACGCCAGCGAAACTTGTACCGGAATCCCAGCGCGTTGTGTTGAAGACGGAATTTAACATCGGCGGCGACTGGAAGAACATGACGATCAAGACCATACTCCAAGATCCACAATCCAGACGAAGGTAAATACTCGGGAACACCAAGTTGTTGTAGAGGAAGCGAAGGGGTCGACGAACCGGTGCGTAAGGAGAGGAGAAGACGGACAAAGTCTCGATTGGTCATGTCTGCCACCATCGTGCCATCAATACTCCAATCATGCCGCGCTAATTCGATCAAGCGCGGAAATACAGGACCAAAAGAAGGCGAATCGTGATTAACCAGCAAGTTGAGACGCGGTATCACTTCGGTAATGAACCGAGTCTTGGAGGCGGGGCGTGGAAAGTCTTCGACGCGCAAAATAGACTCCAAGTATGCGGAAGAGGCGAAAGTAGATGAGATATCAACAAAGTCTTGCTGCCGGCAGAGTCCAAGATCTTGTAGCAAGCCATAATACTTGGAAAGCTTGGCCAAAGGGCGGCGAGTCGTGCCAAATAGAAGATGGAAATTATTCCAAAAAGGCGCCGTCTGCGCAAAACGTTTCCAATCCGAAGTCCCTCGAGACGACTGTATATCAGTCCACAGGCGAAGGGTGGAATACCAGAATGGGGGAAGAAGTTGCCAAGTACCTTTGACCACAGCATACAAGATATCAAATCCGAAACCTTGACGTCCCAACGCTGAAGAGAATAGAGAGAGTGCAGGAGTCATCCATCGAGGTGCGGCGCAACGACGGCAAGTCGCGGCAATGGCGTCCCCCAACGACTTCAGATGCATGGCCTGAATAGACTCCTTCACCGGTGTCAGACCAAGACCACCGTGCTGAATACTGGTGTAAATCCATTCGTGGGAGAATTTGCCCGGACACGCCGAGTCATTATCTGTGTCGTTGCCGTGGATAAAGTTACGTATGATAACAGCAACGGCCTTCAACAGTGCTGCAGTAAAACAGGTTACACTCGCGGTGTACCAAAGAAGTGGTAAGATGACACTCCGTAGAAGAACCACTTTACCGCGAAGGGTACGCGCCCGATACTTCCAAATAGCACACCGCGCTCGAAGCTTCACCAGGACCCGACTGAAGCGTATATCAGGGGTGATAGTCGCGCCTTGAGGAATACCGAGCAGCGTCACCGTGTCCGTCACGCTAAGAACCTTGAAGGGAGAAGTTGCCCGAAGACCGTCTAGTTTGGAACGCGTAATGTGGTGAGACATCGGCATCACACACGTTTTACTAACGTTAAGTCGGAGACCAGTCGCGTTAGAATAGTCGTCGACGAACCGAAGGAATTCGTCAGCATCATCCACATTTTCCAGTAGTCCGGTGCAATCGTCCGCAAAAGCTAAAAGTAAGTGCGGTTCGGAAGAAGGATCCACTAAAATGCCGCGACACGAAAAATGGCTGCGTAAGAAATTCATCATGGGCTCGACGAACAGCACAAATAACCCAGGGGAAAGAGGATCACCTTGACGAACGCCCGCTCCCAAGACGAAGGGGTCACCAGGCGATCCATTGAGAAGAATACTGACAGAAGTTTGAGTGTAAAACGTCTTGATCCAAGCACGAAAAGTTGGCCCAAAACCAAAGTGATCGAGAACCAAGTCCAGCGCCGGCCATAAGACGCTGTCGAAGGCCTTGGCAAAATCTAACAGTATGGCGCAGGCATCAGGATGGTGTAACTTGCAGAAATCTTGGAGGTCCTGAAAGCGAAGCAGCGAGTGTCGAATGGAACGACCGGGAATGAATCCACTTTGATCGTCATGGATAAGAGTCGGCAACACTGTCCGCATACGATAAGCAAGAACCTTTGGTCCAAGCTTAGCATCGTGATTCAATAGCGTTAGTGGCCGATAATTAGCAGGCAGTGTTCGATCACCGGACTTGTACAGCAGCGATAGATGAGCACGGCGTTGGAACTTAGTCATCTTACCGCGAAGCAACTGATTATCGTGAACGACTTCGAATATCCGAGCCCATTCGGAGGTTGCCACCTTGTAGTATTCAATGGGAAGACCGTCAGGCCCAGGCGCCTTTCCATTCTTAGAAGAGGATATCGCCCAGTAAAAGTCATTGGCCGTGAGAGGTGCATCCATAAGAGAAGTCTGCCGCAACGTAAGACGAGCCGTCGTGGCGCCAAGATACTCGACCAGACGAAGAGGGTCGTACGTGGCAGTGCGTAAACCATAAAGGTCCGGTGAAGGTGATTGGAAAAGCTGACCCCAAAACTGACGATGACCCGCCGCTATCCGAACCGGATCGTCCGTAATAGAGCCGTCGGGTGCCTGATATCCTGGAATCGGAGATCGTAGACAGTCTTGCCGGGGCGGCCGAAAGAAGTGACTAGTGGCACGTTCACTAACGTGTAAGTCCGCCGCAAATTTCTTGAACTGGTTCCGAGACTTGACTGCACCAAGGTGGGTCTGAAGTAACAGCTTTGCCTGTTCCACTGCCTCGAGGCTCTGTTCAGTCGAAGCCGCGTTGTGAAGGTCATGTGCGTCGTTGACCGCAGTGACGAGTGTAGACGTTCGTCGAGAATCGATATCGCGGAGTTCCAACCACCGCCGCTTGAGGTATATGCTGTCCTTGCGTTTGTGCTCGTCGAGAAGACACCCCGGGTTAGCGCCCGAAAAGATCTTGATGCGACGGCCCAACTCAGAAACGGAGGCAGTCAGATAGGCCCGAACTGTAGGATCTTTGAG